ACCATCTTGTATAAGTATACTTACGACCTTAGAGCATGCATCAAAATAACATTGAATGTGTATCTAGCTTACGATTATTATTGTTTATATTGCTGCTCATTTATATTATGCATGTGATTGTAAGCCTACTTGTGTGTGCATGTGTGTGCACGGGTGTACATGTGTGTGTGTGTGTGTGTTTGTGTGTGTGTGTGTGTGTTTGTGTGTGTGTGTGTGTGTGTACACGTGGTGGAACACCAAACCAATGTGCCAGGATCTGGACAATAAAGATGTATCTTATCTTATGTCCTAGACAATCACATGTACAAATGACAACTTCGGTCAACCATAACAGGATACTCAGCAACAGGAACTTACTGAGTTTAATCTAAGGCACTGCTTTCCTATACAGACTTTGTATACTAAAACATATATATTCTAAATGACCACAACTATACAGTCTATTAATTCATAATATATGGAAGGCTATTCCACTGGCAATTTTGTAATCCAATTTTTCAACATGACAAATTTCCCTCTAACTGAACTCCTATTTAACCCTTTGCATAAAATAAAAACATACCCGATAACTAATGCAATAAACACAAAGTTTAATTATCTCACAAATTTCCTCAAACCGAACTCCCATGTAACCCTCTGCATAATATAAACACCAATCTGAGTACAAATAAATGCTCCATCAAATGTACATTTTTATTAAAAATATAATTAATAATCGAGCAATGATGTGTACCAGTTCAACTGACAAGCCATGCAGACAGAACTGACAGCATGATAGCTGAGTTGAGGTGCTGTATTCTAGGAGTCATACATAACACAAATGTCCGACTCTCACTGTGCATCCACCAAATTAGGCCTATCACTTTTTTTTTGTCCGAAACTATGTTATTCACAACTGCGTTTGCAATTGGGGATACAAGTAAAACAAACACTGTACAAAAAATTTTGATACATTCTAGAAGATAATAATAAGAATGAAATTTACGCCCCATGACAGTGGGTGACCTAATTTGGCGGACAGACGGTTAAAGTCAGACACCTGTGATATGAACAACTTACTTTACTGAGGGTCGTGCAGGCAGAGTCAGCAGCATTCCTCACAGACTCCTGGGAAATAAGGTAAAAAAAATCACTTATAAGTCTAAAAGATATAATATTACAATGTGAATGTGTCGACAAGTGCAGAATGTGACAAACTCTTCTCTGCCTGACTTGGATCGCTTTGGTCATAGCAGAGGTCACAAATCATTTTAATACTTTAATTCATACTTCTTCTATTCCTCCTTCTCCTCTGCAGATGCATTAGCCATAGTCAGATATTCAGGTAGGAATTATTATAATGCATGTAAAAAAAATGATGGGTGTTATTGAGAACAAACAAAAACTGAATAGCCTCTCCTAATCACAGGCACAGAGTAGAGTCTATCCATGTTCATTCTAGTCTGTTTTTTGTTTGTTTAAGTAAGGTTTTACGGCGCTCGCAACTGCATAAGGTCATATGAGCGCCAAGGGGTGGATGTCAACAGAGAAGTCCAAACGGGGAATAAGGCTTACTCTGCTCACCTCTCTAGCCTCAACAGCACAAAGTCTGCTTCGACTAACAATTCTACGGTGCATAAGAACATGTTAATATCCCCCCTTTGCGAAAGGACTAAAGACAACCTCAGTCAGTAACACTGCCCTGGTGGGGGGGATTCTAGTTTACTGATTATACTTGCTAAAGTATGTATCAATGCAGAAAAACATTTGGTTTGCGCCTGAGGCCATCAATATATTTATTGTATATTCTAGTAGATTTGAATCGTGATAGTAGAGCGACAACGAACAAACATTCTTCCGTCCCCCCCGTTGACATCCCGCATACTTTAGTTTTTGAGAGTTTTACCATACTTGCAACACAAATAGGTCATATAAGTGATGAAGATTACATGTATTACTAGAGGGTAAAGAAGGAGAGATAAGGAAGATAGATGTTTAATAGGAAAGACGGAGCAAACCACACCAGAGCACTCTCCAACCACCCATCCACATACTTTGATGTCGTCCCGCACACGCAGACACGTCTCCCACAGCTGGGGAAGGTCGTCGATGATGTCATCAAGGGCCCTCCCTCGTAGCAAGTCGCTCACTGCGAGACAACTGAAGGGAGAGAAAACAGGAACCTTTAGTTTAAGTAAGAGTTTTACATGAGATGGAACTCCCCAAGAAGGAGAAAGAGATGTAGGCCAAGATCCACCTGGGACTGAGATTTGGAAGAATTGGGTTTTGAGTAGAAAGAAATACATTGAAACATAACAGAAATTTTGAGCGTGTTAAAAAGTAAAACAAACCGGCAAACAACAAAAGGAAAGAAAACAGTATGACTAACCAATGGCGCCCTCCAGTCTCCCACTCGAGAGAGTATGTTATAAAAAACAGACAAGAATGGCATGTAAGAAAATACTACTTGTTCTATTTGATTCAAAACAAACCTTGATTCTCGTACTCTCCACTGATTACTTGTCAAGTTTTTCATCAAATCGTCCAAAATTTGCTTCAGAAAGGTGTCAACCTGCACAAGGGGGGGTAAAACAAAAACAGGAACAATTTACAAACAGATAATTAAACAACACTGAAAATTGAAAGATCTCATCTGTCTTCCTAAAACAGGATAGGCTAACAAGAATACAATATTGACCAAAATGCAGTAAAACCTGCTTTAAGTACAACCTGTCCAAGACAATCAGCTGTACAAACAGCCACTTCCTATACCCTCTTGTGCTATTTTAAAAACATAATGACACTGTCCAAGACATCCATCCATCTAAAACAACTCCTCTTTTCAGAGAAAATGGGTGGCCACCTTGAACAATTTCCACAGTACTCCTCTCCTCTTTTTAAAACAAAAAAAAGTACCATCATACAGCTAACAAATGACTCATTTTGACCTCAAGTTCAGACTAAACGAGTGGCAATTCAGACAGTCTTTTAAAGTAGAAAGTCAGGGTGCCATTGGTGGGTCTTATTTCTTTTCTTTCTTTCTGGTTTTCCCGTTTATTTGTCCTACTTTTCCCAGGCACTATATGACCATTACAGTGTCAAAGAGCTTCTCTTTACTTAAACAATCAACCTTCTCACAATCTTCTTGTAGTCCTGAACCAACACGTTCTTAGTAAACTCGTCCAAAAAAGTCAAGGAACAACTTGTGTTTTCACTTGTCAAATTTGAACTTAAATATCTCGCAAACTCGTTAAGTTCAGTCAACCAAACTTGGCTCACGCACTGACGACTAGACACAGTTCGCCTGTATCGCAAAGTTGCCCGCACCAGCTTCACTACGACTGCGCAGGGCACTTTGAAACACAGCCGAAAAGCATGAAAAATGGGCTAAATTTCTCTGCTTCAGCAATATTGGCATAGGTACTGTTAGCTAGAACTAAGCTTGGCAAGTGTTAAAGAGATGTCTTAGCTGTGAATATTGCTCGCTTACAAAACTTTATAAGCCAGCGTTTTTCAGCCATATTTCATTACAACACGATGGTCTAACGACGCTCGCTGCCTGACGTCTACAGAAGACGAGCCCTTGCCTGGCTTCCAGATGGCTACACGTTCCCAGTCGTTGCACATAGACTTGGGGTGTCCCCATCAGTCATACATAGGCTGCAAGAACGATGACGAGCGACCAGAAGGATCAAGGACAGACCTCGACCAGGGTCATGCCGTTTGACCAACGACAGAATCGATCGGTTCATCGTCAGACAGGCCGTGACGTCACGAACCACCACTAAAAACCACATCGGGGACCAACTACAGGTGACAGCAAATGTCCCCGAGAGCGAGGAGACAGTAAGGAACCGTATCCGTAGAGTCAGGTTCGCTTCTCGTGTCCCTGCCGGGCGCCCAAGGCACACGCACCCCACAAAGCAGTCCGCCGGGTGTGGTCTGCTCTCCATTCACAGTGGACACGACGTCAGTGGCACCAGGTAGTCTTCTCCGACGAATCCATATTCAACTTGCTGCACCCAGACATGCGAGCCCACGTCTGGAGGCTCCGAGGAGAGCTGTTCCACCCTGAGTGTATCCAGCAGGTGGCGCCCTACGGTGGAGGGTCCGTTCTGGTGTGGGGAGGCTTCTCAGCTCACCACAAGACCCCCCCCCCGTACTATATACAGGGCTATTTGACCGCGGCAAGATACAGAGAGGAAATCCTGCGTCCCCTTGTTGTTCCTCTACTGCAGCAAATGGGACCCCAGGCTGTACTGCAGGATGACTACGCCACGCCACATCGCGCACGCATCGTGGGGGACTTCCTGCAGCAGCGAGCTGTCTCCCTTATGGACTGACCAGCTTGTAGTCCGGATTTGAACCCAATAGAGAACATTTGGGATCACAGTGACCGGTGGATAAGGAACAACCACCCATCTGCACAAAACCTTCTACAACTCTTGGGCTGCCTCGTCCAGGAGCGGTAGAACCTACCGCAACAAGTTCTCCGAAGGCATGTCCTGTCCATACGTCGACGCTGTACCGAGTGTTTGGTCAAACGGGGTGGCTACACCCACTATTGACAATGTTCATGAAGAACTATGGCTGTTCAGACTTTTGAAATCCGACAAGTGTGATTTAAACTCATTTTACATGATCTTCTCGTTGTTGTTGAAATCTGAAATTGTACACACTTAATCTAGAGAGTCGAAAGCATATTTTTTGAAAAAATGAATATTTTCGGTTACTCTGTTCTTCAGTTATCTTTCTTTGAATTTTTGTTCCTTGACTTTTTTGTGCGAGTTTAGGTCCTACTTCTTTTCTTTCTCTTTGGTGTTTCCATTTATTTGCCTTACTTTTTCCCCCGCACTACATAACCATTACTGTTTCAATGTCATTCCATTCCCTCAAACTATCAAACAAACAATCAAACTTCTCACTGTCTTCTTGTTGTCCTGAACCAGCACATTCCAGATGCTGCTCATGGCCTGCTGGATCTTGGGGTTGGGATCAAATCGATAGCGGTACAACCTGGGCACAATCTGGGGCAAGTAAGCAGCCAGCTGCTCCCCGGCCTGGGCCGCAATGGTGGAGAATCCAAACGCTGCGCCCTATACAAGAAACAAAGAAAGACAACAACAGCGAGATTAGTGACTCCTCAAGATGAATGTAACATTATGCAGCTATTAAGATTACTGTATACCTGGGGTTTTTTTTGTGCCCCACTTGCATTTGTGATTTTTAAAGGAATTTGTGAATTCAAGTCGTTCATGGAATGTTGAAAGGGATGCTACTGCATTGTAACACAAAATGTTGGACAACAGAAATCACAAATTCAAAACATTCATGAAAAACGAAATGGCAAAAAAGAGTGCGTGTAAAAAACCCAGTGTGCAGTAATCTAAAACAAACCCAGATCTGATATAATTATAAAAGATTCATAAAGAGAAAATGTTCCATTGGCACTCCATAGTAAAACACAGATATCAAGCAAAGCATGCTCTCAATCTCGGTGTTGCTGTGCGTAAACATATACCTTTCAGCAAATTTCAAACTGACTTTGCTAAAAGAAGAAACAATGAATTTGTTCAATGGTTTTAGATTCCGTCAAAGCAGGTATCGACTCACATCATAACTGACAATCTATTCGTATTAGGATTTCATTACATAATAGTATACAAGTAGCAATACACATTAGATACAATACGATAACAATTTGTTGATATACACAAAGTGAAACTCGTTACAGCATGGTATATACATGCATGTACATGCACTTGTCAACACTCTCTCTCTCTCACACTTGTCTCCATGGGGAAATCAGTTGGGAGTCATAACTTTACGAGGCTCACCTTACGAGCATTCCAGGTAGCGTTGTGGTTTGCCAAATGCATGAATTTGTAGATGAGATCCGGCTGGTTGAGGTCAGTGGCGATAGCACAAAGTTCTTTGTAGGTAGACAGGCCACCCCTAGAGCAGAACAGAGACGTTGTTAGAGCCAGGAGAATATTCTGGCACAAGCAACAGAGATGTGAAAAAAAACATAATACAAATTTACATTGTTAAGATTAGTCAATATTGTCTGAGACAGCCACCTGTTGTCAAGGAGAAGAGTGCTTGTCTTAGACACACGGACGTCTTGGACAGTGTAGTTATATATTTTTTTTAACGCAAGGGAGGAAGCGAGAGGAGGTCGTTTGTGCGGGTGATTGTCTTGGACAGGTGGCAATCATAGGGTTTGACTGAATAGAGAAATGCTAATGGTCTTTAAGTTACTAAGTCACAAATCACTACTTCTTTTTTTTGTCCAGTGCCCTGATTCTGGTGCCGATATTTGTAGGTTACGTAAAAATGTATTGACATGGTGCAAATTGTTTCAAGAAAAAAGAAACAAGAAAAGCATAAAAAGAAAAAGAGGAATTGTATAGTCGGTGATGACGATGATGATGATGATGAAAATCACTACTTGTAATACAATAGCTTAATGCTGAACCAATGAAGTTCTTGGGCCAACAACTTTATAACATGTGACAGAGAAAAGCCCATTGAACTCTCCAACACAAGTTTTCTCAATCGCAGTCAAAAGCAAGGAAGCATTACTGTGTATACTCACCTATAACATGACCTCACATATAATGGGGAGGGGGAGGTGTATACTTTTGAACCTCATTTTTTGGGGAAAAATTGCTAGTGTTAGGGGACAGTATGTACAGTACATCATCAGCTCAAATAGTGTCGACAACAAAGAGTCACTGAGCTTAGTTTTAGTTTTAGTAAGAGTTTTACAAGAGTTTTGCAGCAATTGCAACACAATAAGGTCATATAAGTGCTGAGGATTAGATGCGTTACACGAGAGTAACACACATGAAAAAGAAAGAGGAGAGATAAGGACGATAGATGTTTGATAAGAAAGAAGGAGTAGACCACACCACAGCACCCACCAACCACCCACAGAGTGTGATCGAGGAATATATGGACGACCCACAACCCACACAGTTTGTCTCACAAACATGACCCAGTGACTGCACTCACCCATCTGGTGCCTTGCCGAGAGCTCCACTCTGGAACACGGTTGTGTTGGCGCTCACCTCATTCTTGGCTCTGGAAATAAGTTATTTAGTTTCAGTAAGAGGTATATGGCAACTGGGACACAAATAGGACATATAAGTGCTGAAGATTAGAGGTGCCACAAGAGAGTAACATACAAGAAAAGAAGGAGGAGCGATAAAGATGACAGATATTTCTTTAGTTTTAGTAAGAGCATTACAGCACAGGCAACACAAATAGTGTCACTAAAGAGTAACATATAAAAAAAAAAGGAGGAGAGATAAGGACAATAGATATTTAACATGAAAAAAGGGGCAAATTACACCAGAGCACCTGCAAACAGCACTAGAAGGGTTAAAGTTGGTACTGGTTTGGTTTTTCCTATCCCGATCTTTATCATTTAGTTTTGAGAAAAGTTTTACAGCACTTTCAACACAATAACGTCATATCAGTGCCAAAGATTAGAGGTACTACAGGATACAAGAGAGTAACAAACACAAAAAAGAAGGAGAATAGATAAGGACAATAGATGTTTGATCGGAAAGAAGGAGCAAACAACACAAGAGCATCCGCCAACCACACAATGAGGGTTGTTAAGGCTGGTATTGGTTTTGTTTTCTCTATCCTGATCTTTATGATTTACATTTATTTCTCTTGTCTCAGTTTAGTTTCAGTAAGTGTTTTATGGCACTTGCAATTCAATAAGGTCACATAAGTGCCGAAGATTACAGGTGTTACAAGAGAGTAACAAACACAAAAAGGAGGGAAGATAAAGACGATAGACATTAGATAGGAAAGAAGAAGCAAACAACACAAGAGCACCTGCCAACCACACAGTGAGGGTTGTTAAAGCTGGTATTGGTTTTGTTTTTTCTATCCTGATCTTTATGATTTACATTTCTCTAGTCTGAGTTTAGTTTCAGTAAGTGTTTTATGGCACTTGCAATTCAATAAGGTCACATAAGTGCTGAAGGTTAGAGGTGTTACAAGAGAGAATGAGGGAAGATAAAGACGATAGACATTTGATAGGAAAGAAGGAGCAAACAACACAAGAGTACCCGCCAACCACACTGTGAGGGTTAAGGCTGGTATTGGTTTTGTTTTTTCTATCCTGATCTTTATGACTTACATTACTTTTGTCTCAGTTTAGTTTCAGTAAGTGTTTTATGGCACTTGCAACACAAAAAGGTCATATAAGTGCCGAAGATTAGAGGTGTTACAAGAGAGAATGAGGGAAGATAAAGACGATAGACATTTGATAGGAAAGAAGGAGCAAACCACACCAGAGCACCTGCCTATTACCCACTTTTATCATTTACATTTCTCTTATCATTCACATTTCTCTTGTCTCATGAACAAAATAAATCACACACATGCTATAAAAACATCCTCCACCTTTTGCCTGTCATCAACGTGTCCACCAGCTCAGAGACCAGGGTGTCCTTCTGTTCTGGCGTACACACCTCCATGACCTGACCCAAGCCTTTACTAGCCATGTCCTGGGTCACATCTGAGGAGAAACAGAACACAAAATTGAAAAAAAGTCCACTCCAGACTCTAACTGACTGTCAGTATCTGAAGAGATATAAAACAATGTAAACTAGAAAAGTCCACTTCAGGCTCCGACTTTCCCTCAACATCAGAGAATAGAAAGACAGGATTACGAGAATAAGCATTGAGTAAGGAGAAAAAGAACACAAAATCTAAAAGTTGAATTTTTCCGACTTTGACATTACGGATATAAGCCGATACCAGGGGGGGAAAAAATCCAAAATGCTCATGTTTCACATAAATGCTGTCTTCAAAGCCGACACATGAAAATATAAGCGACATAGATTTAAATAGAAAATCAGACCTTTTTAGTATTGCCTGAAAATTAAAAGGACAAAGATACTGGTTGTGAAAAAAATCCATCACTAACCGTCATTCTCAGATAACATCCTCATGAACCCCCTCTGTATGTTCAACAACTGTTCTTGAACGGCTGGGTGCTGACCCACTTCTCGGATCAGGGTCAGAAGCCACACACAAGCACCCTGGACAAGAAAACAAACAGACAGATCACATTGCTGTACACAAAAAAAACCTCCAACAAAACCGCAAGCAAAAATTAACAACTGATTGATGATACCACTTAAACAAAAGACAACAAGAAAACAAATAGATTTATCACATCAATAACATAAAAACCAACAGGAAAGGAAAACAAGTTACAAGATTACGCTTTAAGAAAGTCAATAAGAAAAGAGGGAAAACCCCCCCAAAAAAACACCCTGCGGAGCACACGAGAAAATTAAAAGACAATATGAAAAAAACTATTATAGCCTACCACATCTGAAATATAAAAGGCAACAAGAAAAGAAAACAAACAGCTAGATAAGGAAATAAAATAGGGGGGGAGGTCCCATGGTGAAAGTCAAACAGACCTTCCGTCACAAAAGGGTTAACTTGGTTAACTTGTCACAACACATGAACAGAGCAAAGATTACCTGTCTAATGTGAGGGTTGGCGTGACAAATGTAGGTGGACAACAACGCCACCACGTACCAGTCCATGTCATCTTTTGCCCCCGCTGTTGTTTTCTGCAGGACAAAGATCAGACCATCAGACCGAATTCTTCTCCATGAGTAGCAGCTGCATCACTTTCTGTCAAACTATGATTACCAACTCAAATGGCAATACATACTAAGACATCAGAAAGCTTTATCTTAGATTTTTATCATTGAGCATTTCAAATGAGGGTTAAATGAAAATTGTAAAAGTAAAAAAATAAAGAGAAGTACAACCTGTCAAATTACCCCCCCTCCCTCCCATTACAAGCCACTTTGAGAAATATGAACAACAGACGACCCATAATGTCTTATACATTTTGAGACACAATGTGCAGGGAAGAAGCAAAGTCAGATAGAGAGAAACAAAAGAGGAAAAGAACAAAAGTAGTATAATACCAGTAGCGCCTTTCAACCACTCGCTTAGTGAGTGGATATGGGCTATATAAATGCAATTATCATTACCACCACACACACCAAGATTGTGGGTGGTTGGAGGGTGCTCTGGTGTGGTTTGCTTCTTCTTTCCTATCAAACATCTATCGATCGTCCTTATCTTCCTTTCTTCTTTTTTATGTTTGTTACTCTCTTGTAAAACACCTCTAATCTTCTGGCGCTCATATGACCTTATGCAGTTGTGAGCGCCATAAAACCTCTACTAAAACTAAACTAACACACCAAGGTTGTGTTCGCGCCTCACCTGATGCTCCTCCTTGCTGGTGGTCCACACACATCTAGCCCGGGGCGACCGGGGACCCATGGCCATGTTCACTAGCGCTTGACCGATGGTGAACTGAAGCTCTACCTGCTTGGACTGAACACAAAACAAAATTTGAGTGATTTAGCTGAAACGCAAGGTACATTCATTCGAAGCAAAGAGACAGCAGAAGATGGAGGCTCCAGTGGCTAAGTGAGTAGTGAGTTTAGACTAAAGAGTGCAGTCAAGCAAGTGTCGGAGATACGCGGATCAGATGAGTGGTCACTGGGGGTGTGTCCTTGAGCAAGATACGACAACCCAAGCTTAAAAAACAGGGCTCTGCACAGTGGCGACCAGCAATGGCATGGTTGTGAAATTGTTCTGTATTGGTGTATTATTGTGCATTTAGGTACGTATATGTATTTATGTACGTATGTATTTATAATTAAGTTTTTAATGTATGTATATATGTATGTATGTATACATGTATGTATTTGCCCTTCTGGGATAAATAAAAATGTAATTTATTTTTAAGATGGAGGTTTGTTGTGGCAAAGAGTGGGGAACCAATGGACGAACACAGCCATGGTGACAGATGATATAGCTTTAGTAAGAGTTTCATGACAATTGCAACACAAACAGGTCATCATATAAGTGCTAAATATTAGAGATGTTACAAAAGAGTAACAAATACATAAAAGAAGGAGGAGCAATATAGACAACTAAATAAGGTCATGTAAGTGCCAAAGATTAGAGGTGTTACAAGAGAGTAACAAGCACAAAAAAATAGGAGGAGAGAGAAAGTAGATAGTTTTTTTTTATAGGAAAGAAGGAGCAAACCACACCACACATAACATTTCAGAAAAAGACACTTAAACATAGTTCTTTGCCATTTAATAACAATGAAGCGTACATTAAAACAATACAAACAATTTCTCCACTTTCATTAAGTATGAACCGTGTAATAAAATACTACAATGTAATTCTCTGCCTTTCAGGCATGAAGCGCACTATTGCTCAAAACAAAACACATCAATGCCACTCTAATTAGACCAGAAATGTGTACCTACCTGCACTGCATTGAACAAACTCTCCATAGCCTTTCTCCTATGTGGGAAATCAGCGTCACCCACACAGATGTCCCCTAAGCACATTGCTGCTCTTTCCTTTGTCTGAAAACCAACATCATTAAATTGTAAGTAATCCCTTCAGCTTTATAATGAAAAATAATAATAGAGATAACTTTTATAGCGCCCTCTCCCTGTGGTTTTAAGGGTTAAACTGGTCCATTTAACGTACAACAATTCTTTCAAACACATACACACCCATAATCTGACTAAGAGTGCGTATACAAAAAGACCAGGATAATACTTCTGTCTTCAGCTATAGTCTCCACCTCTATTCAGCAAATGCATTTTATCTTTAAACAAACTGTATGTGTTATTGCACGGACCATTCATTTCTATCAGTTTAGTGTTAATCTTATGCTATTAGGTGAAATAAAATAGCAGACTTATGGGGAAGTTCCCGAAGCTAAAAAAATTGGGTGACAAAATTGGCTGCACACAAAAGTGGAATAGCTTTCTATACACAGTATAACACAGACAGCTTGAATTCGTCGGGACCGCCCTTGGTATTTCGAGGGATTTGTAGTTCGAAGGATATGTTACAAAGATAAAGAAGAAAAAAAAAGGGACCGCAGGCACAGTTCGATGGACACGTGATTTCGAGTGTTCTGTGTTCTACCTACCCGTGTTGTACTGCACTAAGAGTTTATCTGTAAGAAAACTGAACATATTATCACAATTGTAAGCAAAAATACTTACTCCATACGACCCTGCCTTACAGAGTAAGTAAAAAAAATTTATTCCACTTGATCCAGCTTTCTGGATTGATAACAACAACCACAAACTGGATTGATCCTGCTTTACAGGGTGAGGTAAAATCATCAGTTACTATTGTTTTCTTGAGACAGAGACACCATGTTTACAAAATGCTCTCACCTTGTTTGACTCATTGCTTGTCCTCACCATCGCCACCAGCTTGTTCACAAGAGACAGTTTGCTTATCTCCCCAGTCTCCTTCCCCTCTTTCTCCACCATCGGCGCACCTGCTGGTGCTGGTTGGTCAGGAGCATCATCCTTGACCTTGCTGGCACTCTCGCCCGCTGGTATGGGCAAGGCCCCATTACGTCCGACCTCTCCCATGGCGAGACAGGCCGTGTTCTTCCTCACAGCACTGTTATCTGACAGGACTGACACTGGAACGGGAAAAGATGCACAATAAAAAAAAAAACCTAAAGAATAAATACTAAATCATAAGGATAAACCTGAAGAGTAAATACAAAGAATAAATACAAATACTGACACTAGAACAGGAAAAGATGTGCAATAAATCCTAAGGACAAGCTCAAAGAATAAATAGAAATACTGACACTGGAAAAGGAAAGGATGCGCCACAAATTCTAAAGATAAACCCAAAGAATGAATCTAATAAATAATTACAAAGATTTTTTGTAAAACCTTAACTAATCTCATGTTTACAACAGACATGAAAAGGAAACAAATAATTTTGCCTTGAAATACTTTTTCCATCACACACATCATTTTTATAAGTTTTGTACAATCCATCATGCCAGATAAATAAGTAGCGCTTTTTAAAATGTTCAACATTGCTTACTGATTCAGTTCTAGTTTAGTAAAACTGAACAGCTATACACTATACATAATGTCCTAACCCTCACCTTCCAAAAAAAAAAAAAATTCTTGAAACTGACAAAGGCCTTGACCTCTTGAGAACTTGAACTAAGATCAAAGTCTACCAAAATGTAAGTGACCCATCTTTTCACATTGTACCATTGAAGGCTTCACAAATTAGAAATGCTGATGCCAAGAGAGGAGCCCGCGGACTGCTCACAACCACGAGAGGAAACGAAGCTTTCAAATGCTCAAAATGTGGCACTCTTCTTTGCCAGAGTTAGTCTCCTGGCCAAATCAGAAGACACAAATCCTCTTAACCCTATTTCTTTTATTTCGCTTTGGATTGGACATTTTCTCCTTTGAAGATGTATTGATTCATATATTAGGGGCAGAATTATTATTGAAGTCCGTTCCACCTTGAAGCTAATTTAAATCTTTGTTCCACCTTGAAGCTTCCCCGTGTCCTGATTTTGGTGCCCGTCTTTGTTGGGTACGTAAAAAGAAAGTAATGGTGCAAATTGTTATATGAAAGGGGAATTGTTGAGTCGGTAATGATGATGATGATGATGATGATGATGTTGGCGATGGTGACGGTAATGGTAATTGTGATGGTGAGCATGAGGATGATATTTATGTTAGCGATGATGATGTTCTGATGTAGGAGATGACGTGCGTATTAGTCTTAGTGTTAAGTTTGTTTGGTGCTTACTCTAGATCCCCGCCAAGCTGTCCTGGGGGGCAGGACACAACCCTCATTCCCAACTCCTCCATAGAGTGACCAAAATTTGGAAATAATTCGTCATCTTCATCCCTAGCATTTAATAAAGGTAGGCCGAAAAATCACATGGGGGCTGCTTCTAAGTGATGACATTGTTAGTGTGTTTGTTACCCTACGTCTATGCTATCATATTTTCAAAACAGTGAAAGGAATGGGGCCAATAATCTTCCTAAAAATTAACTTTCATAGTCAAAGCAGACTAACTTGTGTGCTTACAAGTTATCTCTATTGTCATTCGCAACCGGTCCCGAGGCACTTCTAGTTCGCTTTGGACATTTTCTCCTTTGAAGATGTATTGATCATTGTCATACATTAGGGGCAGAATTATTATTGAAGTCTGTTCCACCTTGAAGCTGATTTAAATCTTTGTTCCACCTTGAAGCTAATTTACATCTTATTGAAATGCTTTGAGGACAGAAATTGTAAAAAGCAAAAAATACAAAAACAACTAAAAAGGTTACTCACTGATGGTTTTGACGCTGCTAGTCAACAACTTCTCTGTGGAAGAATCTTGGGAGCTTTCCATTGAGGTTTGACTGAAGGAGAGAACAAAACAAACTTGTTCGTCAATATCAGATGGAACTTACTGATCAATACGGAATAAAACTTATTAGCCAATATGAAATAGAACTTGGTTGACATGAAACTAAACTAATCAGAGTACATGAAACAGAACTAATCAGTCTATATGAAACAGAATTTAATGACCAGTTAAAAGTACCAGTCAATACGAAACAAGTCACTGGCAGCAAATCCAGGCCAGTAAATGAAAAAAGACAAAAAACATGCATTGACTTCGAAACATATTATCATACCGTTCTGAGTAGTCGAAAACATTTTGAGGCTGATTAATAAATGTTTCAACCTGAGCTTCATAAAGCTAAAAAAAAGACCCAAATAAAAACACAGCCACGAATTACACTGGGAAGCAAAGCTTCATTTTGCTACAAAAAAAGAACAACATATACGTGTTCTACATTGGGAGCCAGTCACATCAGCCAATAGCTTAAATAGCGACTAGTCCAAGCTAAATGTGGTAGTTGTATTATTGTTTTTCTGCAATAAGAGTAAGCAGCGGCAGTATACACACACACAGATGTCAGAACATAAAATTCAATCATGAGGTAGCAGCTTCACTATCATAATTTGGAGATTTGGCAAAACCCATTTTTAAAAATATGTACTTCAAAAGAACCTGGGGAGTGGTGCATGCCCTGTACAAACCTCAGTCATGCAATAAAAAAAAAAAAAGCAACAGTGATAAAATTCCATACTATGATATTTATGATGGTGAAAAATCAGGGGTTTTTTTGTTCTTCCTGTATAACTTGAATCATCTGAGCTACCATAGTTTTGCTGCTACCCCCCTGAGTATTTTTGCCAACAAATAGTCTTACCCGGAATTTCTCATCATGATGCCAATGAGATAGCCCAGGGTCAGCAATGCTCCTAGTCCTAGCTCCGGATTCTGGTGATAGGAGGGGTGGCAATGACTATAGCTCACATACACATATACATATTCAGATAAATATATATACAGACACAAACACACGCACACACATACATACACACACACATACATGAACATTCGTACACACTCCACATCATCAACATGCACACACAGAGACAGAGAGAGAAAAAGAAGGAGATTGAGAGAGAGAGAGAGAGAGAGAGAGAGAGAGAGAGAGAGAGAGAGAGAGAGAGAGAGAAAGGAGTGAAATAATAGCATGAAGAGGGAAACAGTTATCCCACAAAGAGAGAGACCAGACACATAGCATGAACACTCATAATGACACGTGTTCTGATGCAAGTGAAAGACTTGAGTTTGAGTATCTGAGTAAAAAAGAAGTACATCCACACCATAACAGTGGTTTAGTGCAGGGAATCAGCAAGATAGATTGATAGAAACAATGGAGGGAAAGAAAGAAGAAGTAGGACCTACCAGGAGTGTCCTTTAGTTTTAATTTTAGTAGAGGTTTTACAGCGCTCGCAACTGCATAAGGTCATATGAGCGCGAGAAGATTAGAGGAGTTACAAGAGAGTAACAAACATAAAAAAGAAGAAGGGGAGATAAGGACGATAGATGTTTCATAGGAAAGAAGAAGCAAACCACACCAGAGCATCCGCCAACCACCCACCAGGGATGTCCCCCCCTACTACAAATGCAAGTGAAAGAAGCAAGAAAGTTCTGAGTCAGCTCAAAATGTACAAAACACATCTTGGATTAAATGAGGCAGCAGCACCCATCAAATAAACCAACTTTTCAAACAAACAAGACAACTCTTTGGCTCACAGCAAGTTCAAACCAGATCAACAGCTCTTAGGGAAGTTGTTTATTTCAAATATGTCTTAGAAAAAGAAACAAACAAACCTTCTCACTGCATTTGTTGTGAACAATGCAAGGAAGACCAAATCCCCACATCCAATCCACACACAGAATGTTCAGCAAAACACACAAACTCCAGAGAGACTTTCATTTTTTCTTCTTTTGTTTTTGAATGAGTTTTACATTTCTTGCAACACAAATATGTCGTATAAGTCAAAAAAAGATTAGAGGTGATACTCGAGAGAGACATACAAAGAAAAAAAAAAGGAGGAAACGTAAGGAAGATAAATGTTTGCAAGGAAAGAAGGAGCAAACCAAATCAGAGGACCTGCCAACCACCCACAGCCAGATATCTAGAATATTCTACAGCAAAGCCCACCTTGTGAGAAACAAGCTCTGTAAAGCTTTCCACCTTCTCTGTGTACTGGGCTGAAGTGAGGGAGTGGAAACTGACGATAGCACAAAGTTCAGCTGCATACCGCTTGATGTCGTCTTTAGAATTGCTGAGAAGACTCTGTAACAAACATAAAAACAGAGCAAAAAAATTACTCAATACCTCAGTGACAAGCCTTCTAGTTTAGTTTTGAGCTTTCGTAAAAGTTTTAAGGCGCTTATAAAACAATTAGGTTACTTAAGTGCTGAAGATTAGAAGTACTACTAGAGAGCAGCATTTGAAGAAAAGAAGGAGTAGAAATAATGGCAACAGAAGTTTGTTAGAAAAGAAGGAGCAAACCACACCAGAGCACCCGCCAACCACTCACCATCAACCAGTCCAGGCGTTCCGCCAACTGTGGAGCCAGAACATTCGGGACCATGGCCACCATTTCCAGCATACAGTACATCGACTCTCCATCTACGGGGGAGACCAAAGCGAAAAAAACCCGGAAATGAAGTACAGTTCACACTACAGAAACAAAGCACATCACTTCGGAAGCAAGAAATAGCATGCACACAGTGAAACTTATGGGACCAGAAAATTATTCAATTATGGGCTAATTTCCCTATGTATGTTTTAATACAAAGAATATATGTATAAGAGAAAAGCCATGATCCGAAAATCTGTTCACTATGTGCGTGCTAGGTTGTATGTACATATTTCACCTATTTACACTTTCCTAAGTTGTCTCTCTGCGAGATATAAGTGGGTTTCAACATGCATCTCAGATTTTCAGTCATTTTGATAAAATCATTCCAGTATACTTAAGTAACATACACGTACAGCTGAACCTGCTCAAAGTGCCACCTGTTGAAGACAACCATCTGTACAAACAAAAATTTCCCACCTTCGCCAAACAAACTGTGAAAGACAACGGCTACCATCAGCAGACAAAAAATAACACCAAAAATTTCAACAGATTATTACTTGTTTCCTATACAAAATATCCATCTGACTTAAGAATTTAAAAAGTCAGACGTTTAAAAAAAAAACCCAACACAATAAAATCATCATCATCATCATCAAGTGCCAGATCTGCAAAACAGACATCGATGATCATGGTTTGCCATTATAAAATGATGACTCAAAATGGCAACTCACTGGCGCTGACAGCCAAAAGTTCCTGCAACATTCGCACATATTGCTGTACGGGACCGTCATTGCCTTTGGCATTGTCCAGCATGCCACGCACAAACG